ACTCCCACAGCTACCTAGAATACTCCTCCTCCCACCCACCTTCCTGCAAAAATGCTATCCCCTATTCCCAATTCCTTCGCCTCCGCCGCATCTGCTCCCAGGATGAGGCATTCCACTCCCGTACATCTCAGTTGTCCTCGTTTTTCAAGGACCGTAACTTCCCCTCCTCGGTGGTCGAGAACGCCCTCAACCGTGTCTCCCACATCTCCCGCACCTCATCCCTCACACCCCGTCCACGCAATAAAAACCAAAAAAGAATCCCCCTCGTCCTCACGTACCACCCCACCAACCTCCGGATCCAACGCATCATCCTCCGACACTTCCGCCATCTGCAATCCGACCCCACCACCAAAGACATCTTTCCCTCCCCACCCTTATCTGCTTTCCGGAGGGACAACTCTCTCCGTGACTCCCTTGTCCGCTCCACACTCCCCTCCAGCTCCACCACACCCGGCACTTTTCCCTGCAACCGCAGGAAGTGCTACACCTGCCCCCATACCTCCTCCCTCACCCCCATCCCAGGCCCCAAGAAGACTTTCCACATCAAGCAGATGTTCACCTGCACATCTGCCAATGTGGTATACTGCATCCGCTGTACCCGGTGTGGCTTCCTCTACATCGGGGAAACCAAGCGGAGACTCGGGGACCGCTTTGCAGAACACCTACGCTCGGTTCGCAACAAACAACTGCACCTCCCAGTCGCGAACCATTTCAACTCCCCCTCCCATTCCTCAGACGACATGTCCATCCTGGGCCTCCTGCAGTGCCACAACGATGCCACCCGAAGGTTGCAGGAACAGCAACTCATATTCCGCTTGGGAACCCTGCAGCCCAATGGTATCAATGTGGATTTCACAAGTTTCAAAATCTCCCCTCCCCCTACCGCATCCCAAAACCAGTCCAGCTCGTCCCTGCCTCCCTAACCTGTTCTTCCTCCCACCTATCCCCTCCTCCCACCTCAAGCCGCACCTCCATCTCCTACCGACCAACCTCATCCTGCCCCCTTGACCTGTCCGTCCTCCCTGGACTGACCTATCCCCTTCCTAACTCCCTACCTACACTCACCTTTACTGGCTCCATCCCCGCCTCTTCGACCTGTTTGTTTCCTCTCCACCTATCCTCTCCTATCCGCCTCCCACTCTCTCCCTATTTATTTCAAAACCCCCTTCCCCTCCCCCTTTTCTGATGAAGGGTCTAGGCCCGAAACGTCAGCCTCTCTGCTCCTATGATGCTGCTTGGCCTGCTGTGTTCATCCAGCCCTGCACCTTGTTGTCTCATCTATTAGTTTAGTTTTGACTTCAGAACAGAAAGCTCATGTTTTCAGTTCAATAGAACCAAGAGTTCAGTTTTGAAGGCAAAACAATTTCTCCTATTTCAGATGAACCAGGCATGCTTGCCAAAGCTCTGTAGTTTGTACAGCTTCCAAGCCAGGAGAGTTTGGATATAGATCTTCAAGTTGTTAGATATGAAAAGGTTTAAGACATCAGATTATGGACCAGAAGGGACTTGTAAAAATGTCTCTGCAATCCAAGGGAAGGAAACTATAAAGAGCCAGTTGAATAAAAGCTTAAAGAAGTCAGATAGGAGTGAAATTTCTCTGGAATTCATTCTTTGTTAGGCTGTTTGTATTAAGATTTTTCTGTTTTGTTTTGTAGACTCAAATGAATATGCTTCTGTGACTAACCACCACAATAACCAATTGCAAAAATGAAATACCTGATCAATCGAACCTGGTTTCATTCAGGGATACGACATGTCCAGTATTACCATCAGTTGGATCATTACATTAAGTAAGGCTACAATTTTTCTGTCACATATTCACCAGCAACTAAGTTACATTGGCCAAGAGTACCAACAAGATTTGGGGAGACACAGTCTATAAATTCATATTGTGGCTAGATTCAAATCAATTCCTAAAGCTACAAGGATAACGTGTTTTACAATTTTGCCTCTTCTTTGAATAGTAGTCACGCATGGGAAAATATTGATTTTTTTGCGTAGAAGCTTACCTTTGTATCGGATCATCAGTTGATTAACATTCAGATGCTGGTCTGGGATGCTGTCCTTGATTGACGATTGATCTTGCAGGTGTAAAGATCTTAGCTGTTCCTCAAATGAGTCTAACAACTTTCTGTTGTTTTCACCTTTAGCTCCCCAGAGTTCAGCATACTGGTTCGGCTTTCCAGTCCGTGCATAGGGGCTTTTATCTTCCAAAACATATCTGGAATAACAATGCGGAAGTTTACATCAGAGAATTGGTCATCACAGACATTTTGAACTTTTCCCAGAAAATGAAATCAATGCCAACCCTCCCCACCAAAATACGTTTCCACTTGTCCAATTCCAAGGGTTTAAAATTTCATTACCAAAATACTGTGGAAAAAATGGTGGTTTGGAAACTTAATTTTTTTTGTGAAGGATTTAAAACTTATTAAACTACAAACAGTCCAAAGTCTATTTACTGTCTATGCTATATTGGAAAGGTTTCTGTTACAACAGAGTCTGCTTAATATCGCTGTATTAATCCTTACTTAAACCAGAACTATGACAGCAGAGTTTGTGATTACATCTCAAGTGGTCCAGCTGGGATGAAGAAACCATCATGGGAAGACATGTAGATGGGTTAATATGCAATGTTAGTGAGCAGTTATTTGTCAGACATAATGAAATGTAATCCTCTTTTTTTCTACAAAATCAATGTCCTTAATTTGATAGTTTGAGGCAAGTATACTGCCAATCTGAGCTGCCCAACAGA